ACAGTCCTCTCAATCTTCTGGAGCCTACACACTTCTCTCAGGCTAGAAATTAGAGCCTAGTGGGAGAGCTACAGGCGATTTGGTGAGTTCCAACCAGGAAGAAGTCCAAGATTTTATGAGAGGGGAGGTTGAGACAAACAACTCATGGATGCCCCAGGACTCCCCATCGTCTTCTGGAAATTTTTTCCTCACTCTTTTGTGTTCTGAACATTAAATGCAATGAACTTACTCCTCATCAAAAGCTCCCTGGTCTTTCATACTTCTGGGCTTGGAGTTCCCTTTCTCCTACTTCTGCTCTGGTGAACTCCTATTTATTTCTCAAAACCCAGTACACATATCACTTCTCTTGAGAAAGAGTGGGGAGCAAGAGACAGTGAGACACACGTGATCCATCGAGGTTACGGACTGCACGGGAAGCACCAGATTAGTGATTATGACACGGCACCAGCCCTTTAAGGCTAAGATGTGTTCTTCTAGAACAAGAAGAGTCTTAGGATTTTAAACTTTTCTTCTTTGTAAAACACAATGACTTTAATACTGCCTTCCTCTTCTCCTTCCCTCTCTTCCTCTTTGGTAATGATTCCTTTTTGATCTATGTCAAACATGTTTACACAAAAAGGTCCAGACCATCTGTCAGTCCCAAACACATGCCACCATTAGGAGTCTCACCACTCCCTAAGCCTGAAACAAGAATGTGGATACGTTCCTAGCTCCAGTCACTGCTCAGGGTCAAATTTCATAAATGAAGGCAGCTGCTCCAGAGCAGACACCACAGTCCCAAACTGCGCTCTCAGAGCTGGCCCAGGAGCTTGGGGGATTTCTCAGAGGACGGGGCAGGATTGCTGTATAGGCAATGATTTGGAATGAAAACAAGAATTTCTTTTTTCTTTGTTAAGTTAGTGTTGATTGATCATTATTTTCCTATTCTTAAAAATTGTGGACTATCATAAAATCAACAAAAGTAGGGATGAATATATAATGAACCCCCTGCTCTAACCTTACCCCCCTTTAATCATCATCAACACCCGGTCAATCTTATCTCCTCTACATTTCACCCATGTCCACCCCTAGAAAATTTTGAAGGAAATTGAAAGATCCAAAACTGACATTGATAAGGCCCCAGGAAACCGCCTGTGAGTAACAAAGCTCGACCTTCAAGGTGGGAAGTGCTCTCTAGGAGTGTCCCTTGGTGCC